TGTAGAGTTCTATAGAATCTATTTTTGAAAAAAATTCTTAAAATTCGTGTTACAAAATTTCCGTTTTACCAGTTGCAAATATTACTAAAGCTCTTGGAAATTTACGTTATACTTGGAAGTGTTTTATTTAACTTTTTAGATACATTTCTAGTTATAATTGCAATGTACCCATACTTTAAGCAATAAGCGCATAAAAAGAAGTTATTAGTTTCCTTTACAACACCAGTATTTCTTGTTTATTTTAATATCAACTGAAACGTTGAACTTAAAACATTTAGCATTTCGTTAACAATCATTTTTTTTGTGGCGGTACTTGTACCACTGTTAAAAATGTTTAACTTTACCTGGAATCTCCATAAAATAATAAATCCTCAAAAGGATTATATCTTTTAACAAGTTTTATTACAATACCATTACCATTATTTTCCGAGATTGAGGTTGTAAACCGAAAGTGAATCCTTTTTTTATTGACCTACAGTTGCTATTGGTAGAAGTTTGGTTAAGAGGTAAAAAGGGTAGAATTTAGGAAATAGTACTAATAAAAAATATCCTTTTTTATTTTTATTTATTTAACAGTTCCTGATTTAAAGTAACGACTAAAGATGTTTTTCCAAAAAGGTACATTTCGGCAAATAGTAATTGTAAATTCCCTTTCATTCCATGTGGTTGGTAACACAAGGAATTTATATTTGAAATAGACAAGGAAAAAGGTTAAAAAGTGGTAGAATTTTAACATTCGTTTATAGGATTACAATGCTTTTAGATCCACTGCGTTAAAATTTGGTTTTTGCACCAGTTATTTGAATAAACCAATTACAAAAAGGTTGCATCAGTAAGGGTAATTTTCAACTTATTTTTTTGTCTAAAATAAATTAAGACTGTTCGTTTCGTCAAAATAATTGAAATGAATTTTTGTTGCAAATACAAGGGGTCTACAAATTTAAAGAGTAAATAAATCGATGGGCGGTAACTCGTTTCAATTAGCAGAAATATTTTTTATAAATATATTATCTTTTTTAATACCTACTAACCACATTGATATGGTGAATACTCTCTGGGACCGCTGACTCCATCGATAGATGTTTTTGACGTAAATTGTTAATAACATTTTTTCCTCACTATGTGGCCCTTGTGCATTTTAATGTGTTGTTATATCGGGTACGGTAAAGTGTTGCCAACGGAAAAAAAGACAGTTCAGGATTTGTTAATCGATAAAATTGTCGCATTTGGAATTCAGAAAATCTACGAGTGATTGTTGAGAAACAAATTCCAGTTTTTTGTGCCTAAATTGCAATTTATGAATGTAGACGACATTTGGTTTCAACAAGACAGTGCTACATGCCATACAGGGTGTAACTAAATAAGTGTAAAACATTTAAGGGGGTGATTCCTCATCGAAAAAAAGATAGGATCTTTCATATAAAGAAACTTCATTGGAGCATCCCTTGTTAAGATACAGCCCCTTAAAGGGGGTACATAAAATTTGTTTAACAATTTTTTTCACAAGCACTAAACAAGTTACAATATTGAAATTAACCTGACATTTTCTACTACCAAAAAGACACTTAGCCAGTAATTTATTTGGTTTACCCCATGGTAGTAAGGGGTGGAAAACGCAACCCCTAAAATTTATTTCCAACGTAATTTTTTGTCTTATTATTTTTTTACCATTTAAAAAATTATTTCCGATAGCCTGTTTCATTCTAAAAAAAAATGTCTCTTGAATTTTTTGCCCAAATTAAACCAGTTCGCAGTAAAAAATTATTTTACGAACAACTACAGAGATACATCGTCATAAATGCGGACTGGATTTACTGTTATTTTGTAGTTACTACCTGCATTAAATGATTAAAGGGGAATAATCAAAACTAATTTAATAATAACAAAACATACAACATGTAGAAATCATAGTAAATGTTCAATATGTCTACCTTCAGACATTACGCATGCGTCTAGACGTCGGCGCATTGAGCCACGTATTCGCTCAAATATTCCTGGAGTCTCTCTAATTACCCTGCACGCATCGATAATGCGGTTTCTTAAGTCCTCTACATCGCGAACAGGAGTACGATAAACCAAATGCTGCAAATGGCCCCAAGTAGACAAATCCAGAGGATTGAGATCCGGGGATCGAGCGGGCCAATTCTGTGGTCCTCCTCGACCTATCCACTGATTTGCATATGTTTCAGTTAAATGCTGACGTGCTACTTGACTAAAATGGGCGGGAGCCCCATCATGCATAAAAACCATATCCCTTCTGACGCCCAAAGGAACTTCCTCCAGCAGTACGGGGGGATGCACTTTTCTTAAAAATTGAACGTATGCCTCACCATTTAATCGAGGAGGTAGAAAATGAGGCCCAATTAAATAATCCCCAATAACTCCGACCCACACCTTAAGAGAAAACTGTTCTTGATGGTTAGTTTCGACAATAGCGTGATGGTTTTCATCAGCCCATATGTGGTAATTATGAAAATTAATAATCTTGTCCCGAGAAAAACTACATTCGTCTGTGAATTCGATCGTCTTCAGAAAGTCACGATTTCTTCTAATCATTTCCAGCATCCAATTGCAAAATTCAAGACGGTTCGGAAAGTCTCGCGGTAACAGTGCCTGTACTCGTTGCAGATGGTAAGGGTATAAGAGATGTTCCTTTAAAATTCGAAATACCGTCATATGATCAACATTTAGCTGGAAAGCAATCTTTCTAGTACTGGTAGTAGGTTGTTCTTCTATCAAATTAAGTACTGCTGCCTCAAGCTGTGGTGTTCTTACTTCTCGATGGCGACCACAATCCTGCGTTCTTTTGTTGAATGAACCATATTCACGTAATCGTTGATGAAGTCAGACAAATATTCTATGTGAAGGATGCTGCCGTTGAGGATACATTTCAGCATATCTTGTAGAAGCTTCTAACCCATTCCCCTGCGACAGACCGTAAACGTAATGCATATCAGCCATTTCCTCATTTGTGTATGCCATTTTAATAACAAGTGAATTATTAAAGTAACAAATTAAGAACAGAACAATACACAATTAGTATTACTTCAATTTCAAAAATTTACAAACTGACAGCTTGATTCCAATTTAATTGTCAGTATCGCTAATGGCGGCCTACTAGATAAATTAGTTTCGTATTTTCGTTTTATGGCGATATGTATCTTGTTCGTAAAATAATTTTTTGCTGCGAACTGGTTTAATTTGGGCAAAAAATTCAAGAGACATTTTTTTTTAGAATGAAACAGGCTATCGGAAATAAATTTTTAAATGGTAAAAAAATAATAAGACAAAAAATTACGTTGGAAATAAATTTTAGGGGTTGCGTTTTCCACCCCTTACAACCATGGGGTAAACCAAATAAATTACTGGCTAAGTGTCTTTTTGGTAGTAGAAAATGTCAGGTTAATTTCAATATTGTAACTTGTTTAGTGCTTGTGAAAAAAATTGTTAAACAAATTTTATGTACCCCCTTTAAGGGGCTGTATCTTAACAAGGGATGCTCCAATGAAGTTTCTTTATATGAAGGATCCTATCTTTTTTTCGATGAGGAATCACCCCCATCATGTTTTAGACTTATTTAGTTACACCCTGTATAGCCCGAGAAACATGTCAATTACTGCATGAGTCTTTTCCTGGTAGTGTAATTTCCCGTTTTGGTGATCAGTTCATGCGATTTAACGTCGTTGGACTTTTTCCTTTGGGATTTGTTGAAGTCTAAGGTGTACCAACAAGTCCACGATCACCCACGCCTTGATGGAGGAAATTGAGCGCTATATCAACGAAATTCGGCCGCATTTATGCAAAATGGTCATGGGGAATTTTGACAAAAGCGTGCGTATGTCTCAACAAGGCCTTTTACCCGATAAGCCATTGCATAACCCTATAGGTACCGTATGTATACTTTATAAATCAATACAAAAATTTACAATATTTAGTTAAAAACCCGTATTTTCTATCAAAATTAATTCTTGCGTGAATTTTGGGACACCCTTTATAACATATTTACGGGGTGTTTGTAAATAAGTGGGAAATATTTTAGGGGACGGTGCCGAAGTTATTTTGTGAAAAAAAGTTCATATAAACGTAGGTTGAAATATGCTTCGTTTTTGAGATACAGTGTTTGAATTTTAATTTTTTATTAATAATAATACTAAGAGTTTTAAAGATATTGACTCGAAATTTGAAAAACGCTTTGGAGGGATAAATGTGCATTTTTTGGGGTGATCCGAATATTTCTACTTGCACCAGTGGCGTTCTTGCGAGAATGCCACAACCTTTTTTAATAAAAAAAAATGGTACAGTGACTTTTTACCGTTTTCGCCATAAATTCTGAATAAAATTGGTTTCTTCAATTTTTTTCGTAGGATGCACCGTTTTTGAGGGAAAAAATAAAACATATTTTATTATCGGTTTTGTTAATCTTTTATTTCAAGATGCAAGTAGGAATATTCGGATCACCCCAAAAAATGCACATTTATCCCTTCAAAGCGTTTCTCAAATTTATAAAAATAAATAAAATATCGAAATTTAAACACTGTATCTTAGAAACGAAACATATTTCTACGTTTATATGATCTTTTTTTCACAAAATAACTTTGGCAACCACTATCTAAAATATTTCGCACTTACTTACAAACATCCTGTATAGCCCGATTTGCGGAAAATATTTCTGGGTATATGGCAGACGACCGCAATCACGACGTTTTGAACCTCCACCGCTTGGACTAGCGAGTAAATCGAAGTGCCTGGGAGAGACAGTCGAGCATCACGACGGCCCATCATCCTTTTTATAGGTTAAGTTTGTTTACTACCGCCACGGTGGAATGAGCCGCTCCCCGCGATCCCAGGGATCGCCAACCCCCTTTAAGGCTTATCGCCGTTCTCCTGCGGCCACCGATTGCCCCATGACTGACTACCCAATACCCATGCTTGTACCCGGGGCCGCGTAGCGTTGCATTCATTTCACCGGTCGCCGTTGAGTTGAGTTAGTTCGACGGCAGTGTCGGAAGCGTCGACGTTACTCCGCGCTCCCCACCGCAGTATCTTCGCGTTGGGTTTCTTATAGTTTTCCCGATGAGGAACTACCGTCCCGTGTGAATTTGTGAGGATTATCTGTTGGTAGATCAGTGTTGGGTAAATCGCGTGTCGTATTATTCCAGTGTTTGTGCTGAGGTGTGTCTGTGAGATTAGTGTGTTGTTGAGGCAGTGATAAGATTCGTCGTATGTTTCCGCAGAGGGGATTTGAGGAGATTCGTAAGTAGATTTGGACGCTTGTACAGGATTTCGCCACAGTTTTGAATTTTTCTTGGGTCTGTAAGAGTGTTACAATGGATTAATCGAACAAATTTAAGTAATGGCACCAGTAATTGCCAATGTACCTGGAATCAATTGACTTATAATTTTGAAGCAAGCAAAAGTGCAATGCAAAGCAATATGTCACACCGTGTATATCATACAGTGCTATTTTTTTTAAACCTGACATAGGCCAACTTTTTTATTTGAAGTGATAGACTAGTACTGCCAAATTCAATGTTGTAGGAAATAACTTGATTAAGAAAAATTTACAAATTCCTTCCGGTGTTGCCAGATTTCTGCAGTAGCTACTAAAACGATATTTTTTTAAATGGCAACACTATATTTTTTTAACATGATTTGACAAACCTTCAAATTGTAACTAGAAAACGTTATGTCACATTTCTTTATTGGAGTAGCCGTTTTAGAAAAATCAGCAAAAACAACGAAAATAATCTGCAGTCGGCAGGAACTAAATGAAGCTATAGTCTGTTTAGAAATGAAAGAGAGTAATAAAAGCTTATTATGTATGCAAATCGTAAATAAATGTAGTACTGGTGCTTATATTCAATATTTTTATATTATGTATTATCGGTATAGATGAGGGGATTTAAAAAAACACAACACAACTTTGTGTGACCGGGTTGTACTAAATTGTAGCAGGTAGCTAAAATTTAATCCCCGACAATCCGTCTTTGTCTATGGCGCTTCAATTTCTCGGTACATTTCTCTTATAAGTAAACAATATAAAAACAGCATTTCAAAACATGAAGCTACTTTAAGCATCATAACCGGGTTAAGAGGGTTTTTAGTAATTCAAATAAAATTATTCAATATTATTATCAAAATATTTATTTAAATTTAATGAATAGACTTTTATTCCACACAAAAATATAATATGTATTTTGAAAATTCAAATCATGGTGAGTAAATGTAGTGTTGTATAAATGTATAATAAAGAAAATAAAAAAGTAGGTATATTAAAATTCATCCTCTGAATCTTCTGATGAATTATCTTCGTCTCCTAGATTGATAACGATAGGTTCCACAGTAACGTCAATTAAATTATCGAGTTCCCACATTTTCTCCTCTTCTTTTTGTACATAATGTATACATCTTTGCCAGTTATCTGCAGTTACTCGTTCCAAGGAATTTTTTAACAAAATTTTCAGGTCACTTAATTTAAACGTCGTATTATTTCGCGCTACATCTCCTTTTACCTGCGCCCAGACTTATTCGATTGGGTTAAGTTCACAGTGATAATATGGTAACCGTAGTACCGTTATTTGGCGATTTGTTGCCATTTCATCGGTAACATATTTTTTATGATCTTTATTAAGATTGACAAGTGTCAAAAGTTCCTTTTTCACCATATTTGTTTCAAAAGAAATGTTTTTTCCGGATAACCATTGAATTATATCGGCTTTCCTCCAAGCAGTCGTAAGTGTCCGCTCGGTCTGCCGTGAATGGTAACTGGCATTATCCATGACAATTACAGACCCCGGAGGAATAAGATCCAACGTCTGTGTAAAATACTGTTCGAAAACATCTGCGTTCATGTCTTCGTGATAGTCACCAGTATTTTTAGATTCAAATAAAAGTAAACCGCCATCTACAAAACCACTGGCACTACCTATATGTGTCACTATTAATCTTCGCCCTTTACCTGAAGGTACCTTGAACCCTGTTGAAAGTCCATCCAAAAATGCTTGTAGAAAACTTTTTACATTTTTATCTTGCCATACTTTTGTTACAGTATATCCCTCGTTGACCTAAGTTTCGTCTAGATAATAAATATTCCTCCCTTCGTCACGGAATTTTCTAATTGATCTTAAGTAGGATCTTCGCCAACAAATAATTTCATTTTTATCGATAAGAACTGACTTCCTGTTCTGCTTTTCCCAGCAAAAATTCAACTCTCGTAAGACGGCCCATAATTTGCTTCTACTGATTTTTGGCAAATCGTTGTCCTCTGAAAGTTCACTTAAAATTTTGTTTAGCGTTGGTGTTTCTTTTTTAAAATAAAATGAGTGTACTTTTCTGCGAATGACATTTTTGAAGAAATCATCTATAACGACTTTTGACCTCCCTGTAGATGATTTTGGGGGATTTACAGTATCTTGTTCATTTTTTGTTTCCTTTAAAAGTCTGTAGATAGTCGATTTTCCAATCCCTGTCATTTTGGAACACTTTTCCACGATGTCGTCAACACTGTTAGTAGGATTTTGGTGTTTCAATGCATTAAATACATTTAATATAATAATCTTCTCATTCTGAGACAGCGCACATCTTTTCACGCGTTGAGCAGCTACGTAATCTGATAAGCTCAACATTTTACCCAAACAAGTCGAATTTTACTCTACTGCACGTCTTCGTATATCTAGCTCTAAGACTGGATTGATCTGTCACAATACACTGGCTCCTGCCCTATGATGTATCCAGTAAAATATACTAATGTACACCCATTACCTGTTAGCATTAGTGTTACCCGATAATTACCTGAAACGAAATATTAGCACGCCCATGGCCGGTTCTTATCTCGAGGTTTTATTACTCTCTTTCATTTCCAAACACACTATAACATAGTAATGGTAGGTCTTTTTATATGGAATGACCCATATTAATTGTCATGGGTGAATGCAAAATTGAATGCTCTTTCGGTTGATATAAGGTTGTCCATACTTATCTCTAACAGTTTTCCAGAAAAATCAGGTTCTTTTCCAGTCAGAAAAACTATCTATGTAACAGCGTCAAGAAGGCCTTGCAATTGTATTAGTCCAACGTCGATACATAGGGTTTTATAAAAGCACAGCACAGCACATCCTTATCGCATCCAGTTACACCAAGAGTTACTAAAAGTAGACTTTCAGCAGAGACCGAAGTTTTGTCATTGGGCACTTGATATGTTAAACCAAGATGATGATTTTTTTAAACGGGTCTTGTTCTCCGATGAGGCTACTTTTCATAAAAATGGTTTCGTTAATAGTCACCATTGCCATTATTATGACACAGTAAATCCTCACCAATTCCGGACAACTCAGCCGACGATGGGCTTTGAACGTGTTGCGAGCAATTTTAGGAACCCATGTCATTGGACCATTCTTTTTTGACCATCTAACTGAAGAAGTTTATTTAAACTTTCTAATAAACACTAGAAGATTTGTTAGGCTACATTCTTTTAGCTACACTTCGAAGAATGTGGATGCAACATGATGGTGCTCCACCTCACAATACCGCTGCGGTTAATCAGTTTCTACACGAAACTTTTCCCAACAGATGGATTGGGTGCGGGGGACCAGTGAGTTGCCCTTTAAGGTGTTCAGATATGACAAGTTGCAACTTCTTTTTATGGGGATTCATAAAAAGCAAAGTTTACGTTACACCACCAACTACCGCGGTAGATATATGGCAGCGCATGTGGTAGCATTTCAAGAAATAACCCCAGACAATGCTTACCAACGTTGGACAGTCTTTTAAAAACCGAATTTGTTTGTGTATTAATCAAAATGAAGGACACTTCGAGCAATTGATGTAAATCAGCGGTAATATACAAGCTGTTCCATTTAAAATAACAACGTTATTTAGCGCCCACTCGAAATGGAACCCCTGTAAAGTTAAAAATATTTTCTTTACATGGCCCACTTGATTCCAGGCAACTTTTATTAAAACCATTTTTTATAAATTTTACAGTTGCAGAGTTACAGAAGAATCCCTCTTAGGTAGAACACCGTGTATAAATTTTCATTTTTTATACAGAGTGTCCCGAAATTAATGAGTAAGGGTAGATTCCTCACGACAGAATAATGCGATGTAGCCAAACTTGCTTTAGTCCAAAAGTGGATATGTATATATAACAATATAGAATGTCAAAGTTAATGTTTTGAATTCAAAATTCTTAAAATGTTTAAAAGTTTTCATTGAATTGCTTTCAAAATTAAAGAAATCATTGTACATGACGCTCAGCATGGATTTCGAAGTTCCAAAAGTACAGAGACAGCCATACAAAACTTCTTAGAACATTTGTATAATAATATGGATAATGGAAAAAAAACTGTTGGTCTTTTCATGGACTTAAGTAAGGCCTTTGATTTAGTTGATCATCAACTCTTATTAATAAAATTGAATGCTTACGGTTTAAGAGGACTAGTTAGTGATTTAATTAAAAGTTATCTTGATAACAGGTTTCAGTTTGTTGAAATAGACAACGTCAAATCGGATAAATTAATAATTAATTGCGGTGTTCCTCAAGGCTCTGTCTTAGGACCTTTATTGTTCATTCTTTTTGTTAATGATTTACCGTTAACTGTGGGTGATCGTGAGTTGGTTATGTATGCTGATGATAACAGTTATTTATGTGCTAGAAATGATACAACACAGGTTACATTAATGAAATTCAAAGTAAGTTAAATGTATTTTGTAAATGGTTCTTGGATAACAAGTTATTTTTAAATATGAGTAAAACTGTTTTTATTAATTTTACACCTAAGACTAAAGAAATAAGTCAGTCATATCTTGTCAAAGTAAATGGAATATCAGTTAAGCAGGTAGCAAATGTAAAGTTTCTGGGGATTCACCTGGATAATAATCTTGCTTGGGAGACACATGTTAACAGTATTTGTATAAAATTATCGTCTAAGTGCTTCTGCTTGGGTAGATTGAAATGTATATGTAGTAAAGAAATTTTATTGTTGTATTATTATGCACAGATATACTCCAGAATTAAGTTTCGGGGTTTTTAAATTTCAAAAAAGAGCTAATAGATTAATTATGGGTCTATCTGGTTTAACTTCATGTAGACAATATTTTAAGAAGCTTAAGCTTCTTACAGTGCCTTGTATTTATATATTCAGGATACTCTTACTGGTCCGTAAAAATACAGATAAATTTGTCACGGTTAATTCATTTCATACATATAACACGAGGGGAGCAAATATTCTTTGTTTTCCAATTCATAAGTTATC